GGGGGGGGGTGTCTGAGCAAGGTGATGATGCAGATTGCATGATTAGGCGCGGGCCCAATGAGGGTCATTCATGTAGCACAGCAGTGCATCCAGGGCACAGGCTCACAGCATGGGTTGCCGGCCCGCAGGAATCACGTCACCCCGTCACCCCCCCCCTCCCCTTTCATTCTACCAGCCATCTCTCCCCCCACCTGGTAGAAGCCGGATGGATCGGCGTAAGCAGACTTCCGCAGGCGGCCGCGAATCTCGCCCAGGTGGATGGGGTTGCGCACGATGGTGTAGTAGTCCGGCACCAGCTTGGCGTCCACGGCCACGGTGAAGCCCAGCGCTGCGGCATCCTTGGGGCCCCCCAGGGCGGTGATCACCTTGTCCACCATGGCCAGGCAGCGGCCAGCAAAGGGCTCAGGGTAGGCGGGAGGCGGGACGATGGGGCGCGGGGCGAGGGGCGCGGGGGCAGCCGACTGCGGCGAGGGCAGGGCCGACGCCGTCTCTGTGGGCCATGGGCGCGCGACGGGGGGAGCATTCAGCACGGAAATGCATTCGTGAGAGGGATGGCTCGCACAGTGCTTTAGGAATAAAACGCTGGGACCTTCATCACGGATGCCGACTGGTGATTCCAGTCCCCATCAGTTTGTAACAGATCCACTGCCTCCTCGCTAGACACCGTCACCGTCTCCCCTCTACTACACAAACATGCATGTGCTCTGGGCATGGCCGCGCTGGACCCATCCTTCCCTGCCACTCCCAAGGCACCTGCTGTCGGTCCATGCCCATTCAGGGAATGCGACCGCTTGGCAGAGACGATGTCCAGAGCCTGTAAAGGGTCCGTGTGATTGTGCTGTCGATGGCATCAACTATGATTTTCTTCATGTTATGTATCGATACGTGGGCGGGGCAGTGCTGGCTGGGGCGTGCATCCACCACATCCCAAGGGGAAAAGGGTATGTGGGGAGCACCCAACGCCCCCAACCAGCAGGGCAGCAGAATGCCCGTGCCTACCTCGACATCAGTCTCGGCACTGCGCTTGCTGCTGAGGGACAGCGTCTTGAGGGGCCCCTCGTCCGGTAATTTAGCGTGGACCTCGCACAGGAGTGCCTGGACTCGCAGGAGGTGGGTCTCGGAGAGCAACCCCGCGGCAAACGACTCCCTGGCCTTGAGAACGGTAGCCTTGCCTTCCCCTGAGCTTCGGATGGTGGTTCCGTCGTCCAGACGGAACGTCATCCTGAGCCCCTTTGGTAGGGGCGCACCCATCGGGGCGCCAGCATCCTCGGCCTGCACCATCGCAACAGCGAGGCCGGAGGGCCCTCCTTCGCTGCTTTCACCACCTAAAATTGCATGTGATATCTGCAGCGTGGTGAAATTTTTAGTTCCGACAGAAAAGAAAATTGTCGAAATGGGAAATGGAGCGTTCCGGGGCACGGCCGGAGACTTAAATTTACCGAGGGACTGTGTGGAACTTTCTTATGCGATAGAAAGCACGGAAAAACCTTGCGACCCGTGCTCCGTACGAGGTCCGGGTGGGTCGCAACATCGATACCAGAAATCAGTCCAAATAATTGAATGGATGGATGTGAAGGGGTCGAAAGGTCCCATGCTCGACCAGAGCAAGCTTTGTGAGTCCCATCTGTGCCGGAATGTAATACTGTAAGTGTCTTTACACCAGAACCAGGAGGAGCGCCTCTTCCGGGGTCAACAATGGGTCACATGGGGAAAGGAATACATGTTTTGGCAACAACAAAATACATAACATTCGTTGAGTGACGGTTGCAGCCCCGCCTACGCCCCCAATCCTCGCTGCCTCGCACGCTGCGACACCAGGAGCGGCTCTGTCAGCCCCACTCCGTCCTTGCCCAGCCCAGCACCTTCGCCCGCAAAGCCCCACTTGCTGAGGAGCTTGGACCCGATGCCGGTGGTGTGCCGCTCGAACTGGCCGTAACCCATGTTCTTGGCCACCTTCTGCTTATCCTTCCGGGGTGGCAAGGGGATGGCCTCGATCCTGGCCCCTCCCCCATGCTGGGGGGCCTTGGGCGGTGGTGGCAGACCCGCCGCCGCCCGCCCTTCAAGGGCCAGTTTCTCCTTGCGGGCCGCCTTTTTGCGGGCCGCCTTGGCTTCCTGCTTCGTCATCATGGGCTGCAGCGCCAAAAGAGCGCTCACCTCCTCGTCTGGGAGGTGGGCAGAGTGTGGATGATGTGGTGGCTGGGAAGTACACCTTACCATGGAGACCTCACAGTCATCCTCAGGGGCAGGGTTGGGAACGCAAAGCAGTTCTACCCTCCACCAGGCTATAGGAGAGGGGGGGCCCATCCCACTACGGAACCAAGCAATCACCTGAACCCGCCAGGGTCACAAGTCCAGGCCCCTTGGTCAACCCCAGTGACAGCTGCTGCATGGGTGCAGTCACCGCCGCCACCGCCGCCGCCCTGCGAAGCGCCAATCCCCGCGCCGTGCTGTGGGGTGCAGAAAGGTGAGCGTCAGGGCGGTTGAGGGAGCATGGATCGGGCACTGGTCCAAGCAAGCACGAGCTCTGAGCCCACACAGTTGCAATTTCTGTCCTCCCAAGTCAGAGGCAACTCCTCTCCGCCCCGTCCTTGCCGCCCTCTCCTATGTGAAACCGTCCTCCTTTTGATCCAAACCTCCTGTCCGCTTCCCCGTGGATCACACCGCCGCGCACCTATGGTACAAGGGTGCACTTCCTTCCCCGCCTCCCCCTGCAGTGTCCTCCAGGACGGGCAGCAGCTCGGCTGCGAGGCCCTCGCCGCCCGCCAGCCTCGCATCCAGCACCAGCCTTGCTTTGCTGGCTCCGGAGTCTGGGTGCGCCTGTGCAGCCTCGCCCGCCCCGTCCTCCCACGTGGCCGGCTTCAGCGGCTGCAGAATGGACGGCCCGTTGTCTAGCAGCGTCCCCGCCGAAACGAAACGCACCATGGGCTTGGCTGCCAGGCCTGCAGGTGGGATGGAGGGGCTGTGTTGGCAAGAATCTCATGTACGTCGAGGCTATCAGGCTTCAGGCTGGCCCAACCAGCATCCCTCCCTCAATGTGCTCGGTGCAGATGAGTGTCGCCTGGCGGGGCTCTCCAGGATAATTTATGTGGCCTGCAATTCCCAGGCACGGCAAGTCGTGCCCACAGCATGCATTATGATAATACGCCCACTGGTGGGAGCCCCATCATTAAGCATCCCTCCCCCCACCCAGATCATAGTGCCCCATCCTCTCACGCTCACCCCGGTCTGGCAGGCTCGGATTCTTCTCCTTCTTCTCCTTCTTCTTCTTCTTCTGCTGCTGCTGCTGCTCTTCCTGTGGTTCCAACTGCTTTCCCGCCGCCTTCTTCTTCTTCGCGGCCTTCTTCCCCACCGCTATCACCTCCCCGCGCTCCACCAGCGCCTGCACCGCCTCCTCCGCGCCCGGCCGCCCGCGCCCCAGTTCCGCGGCCAGCCGCCGCGCGGCCACGGCGCGCTCGCCGACGAGCTCCTCGTCCCAGCGCGGCGCGCGCAGGCCCAGCTCCCGCGCATACACCTCCGCGAATCGGTTCACCACCGACTCGCGCGAGTCGCGGCGCCCCGCTTTCTCCTTCCCGGTGGCTTTGCCCTCGGCCAGCAAGAGTGCGGCCCCAAACCGAGCGCGCAGCGAGAACTGGTGCAGCATGATCTCCGCGGCCGCCGCCGCGCGCCCCGCCGGCAGCACGGTACGCGGCGTGGCCGCGAAGGCTGGCTGCGAGGGCGAGCCGCCGATCTCCAGGCCGTACAGGGAGGCCAGGGCGCGCACCTGGCACAGCTCCAGCCGCTTCACGCCGGGCAGGTCGCCGCGCTCCAGCCCCGTCTCAACAGCGTGCCGGAAGTAGGCGTCGACCGCAGCTAGGTCGAAGCCGCGCGCCATCGACCGCGCCGCCCGCTTCGCCTCGGTCGTCTCCATGGACAGGTCGGCCTTGTAGCCTGGTTGACGGGGTGGGGGGTGAGTGGGGGGTTCAGGGTGGAATACTCGATGTGGAAACGGAAAGAAGGTCGTGGGCGCTGGGGCCTGGATGTGCGGGGTGGTGCTGCTGCAGGAACTCAGTCACACACACAGCCAGCGCAGCAAAACATTCGCCCATCTGGCAGGCAGGGCGGACTGCTTTCGATTTGGCGGCTGTGCGCGCGGGCACATGGGTGCGACCACCCACCCTCTGGCCCTGATGCTTACACATGCAGGGAACCCTCCTGCGAGCAGTGGCCAAATACATCAGCCGGCACGGCACTGACACGACAATGCCAGCGCCGCCCCTCTCGCACACCTGGCGTCTTGGCGATAGAGCTCATCTGTACCGTCTTGCGCTGGGCACTGGCTGCCATCGGCTTGGCAATCCTGGCTTTCGCTCCCGGCTGCTTGCCGGTGCCACCGACCGGGAAGCGTTGCTGTGCCAAGGTGCTACTGATGATCCCGGGCGCCACGCTCCCCTGCAGACTGGCAGCACTCCCGCCGGCCTGGCTTGTAGGGGAGTCCACTCCCCGACCCGCCCCGGCGCTGCCCTCGCCGCCCTCATGGCTGGCTTCCTCGTCGCTGCTGCTCAGCAATGTCACCCAGGACGCCGAGTGGGCCAGCGGATGCTCGAGCTCAGCGGCCCTCTTAGAAAGCAGGAAGTTTTGCCTGACCCTGCGACGTGCCGCACCTTTCCGCGCAGTGCTATTCCCTAGCCCGGTGCTTGTATCCTCACTGATATTGGACGAGTACCCTCCCTCAGAAGTCGAGGGTTTCACGATGTCCTCAAAGGCAGAATTTTCCAGTAGATCCTCCATGATCAGGCGTGTGTCTGAGTCCTGGCGATCCAGCCAGGCCTGGCTGCGCCCGCCATGCACTAGCTTCTTCTTCTGGGAGGGTGATTGAGGAAGAGTGGTTCAAAGTCAGCCCGGCGTTTCTTCACCCCATGACCGGGCGTCGATGCCTCCAGGTGGCGGTGGGTCCAGCTCGCGCTCTGCACTAACATATGTATGTGCACTCGGAATTCTGCCCTCGACAGGGCTCACCTGTTTCGCGCCCATGGCGCGGGGACACTGGGGAGGGCACTTCCCCCGAGCAGTTGCTGCTCCCAGGTGATCCACTGTGAGCTGGAGCTGAGTCAATGGTTGATCGATCTTCTGCCTTTGTGCTATTAAAAATGCAGGAGAGGAAGTGGTGGGGGGCCCCGCTGGGGTGGGGTCAGCCCCCGTCAAATGGGGGAATCTCGCGCGCTGGTTGGGGCAGCATTGCTGGGTGCGGAATGTTGTGACATCAAGGGAGGGGTCAGGTCGGGCGTGCAAGGCTTTCAGAACGGTCAAGGCTACGTCGTATCTGTGAGAAGGGGCAGGATGAAAAAGCAGGCCAGCGCCTCACACATCGCCCGCCGGCGACCCAAGGCCTGGCTGATCGAGCGGCACCATGCTCCCTGGCCAGAACGGCATCCCCCTCGAGCCCGCCGGGGCGGGTGAGGACGTCAGGACCGCTGGTTCGATGCCGTCTGCCCTGCTCTGGGCGGAGCCACCCCTTGCCAAGAAGGGCGTCCGCGGCGAGGCCTGACCTCCAGATCCCCGGCTGGGGCCGGGGTCGTGCGGCACCGAAGCAGCGCTGGCTGCATCGGGTCCGGGGACGCTCAGTCCCGAAGTGGCACCCCCCTGCGCCGCGCTCGCCGGCCTGCACGCCTCCCCGGAGCTGCCCGGCGCGGGTACGCCGAGGCCCTCGTCGGCGCCGCGCCCCGCGTCTGCGCTGCGCGCCGGAGCGTCCACCGGCTGGCCGCCCGCGTCCACGCCGCCCTTCTCCGGGGACAACCCAGGCCGCCCCGCCGTGGGCGCCTGCGCCTTGGTCATGGCCTGGTAGGCCGACAGCAGCCAGGCCTGGGCATTGGAGGGGCTCATGGCTGGCAGGCCGGGGACGGAGATCGGCGGCGCGCCGCCCGGCAATCCCGTGGCCGCCCCGCCCGGCAATCCCGTGACCGCCGCGCCGCCCATCAGCCGCTGCAGGTCCACCATGCCGTTGGGCGGCGCGGGCCCGCCCGCCCCCGCCAGCACGCCTCGCGCCAGCGCCTGGAACGGGTCCCAGGTCGGCAGCGCGCCTGAGGCCGGCGCCATGCACGCGTCGTACCCCGACGCCTGCAGGCCAGCCCAGTCCGGGGGCCCCAAGCCGTGCATCGGCACGGCGCCAAATGCCCGGCTGGCGGCCGCCGCCTCGCGCGCCGCGTTGGCCGCCGCACGCGTGCTGGGTGACAGCTGCGCGCCGGCCGCCGCGTCCAACAGGTGGTCGGGCAGGTGGTGCGGCGGCTGCGGCGGCAGGCGCAGGCGGGACGCGCCGACCTGCCTGGGCACGGGCAGTGTGACCTCGTTTGGAGGTGCCAGCGGGAGGGGCGGGGTACACACCGGGTTGCCGGCGGGGGCCGCCAATGAGCGTGGAGGGAGGAAGCCCGAGCTGCCGTCCCCGCCGCCACTGGCCAGCGTGAAGCCGCTGGTTGGCTGGAGACAGGAGCCGGGGGGATCCCCCTGCTGCTGGCCTGCCTCCACACTCCCAAGCACGCGTGAGTGCGGCGGCGCCGGGGCCGCATGGGACAGCGGGCGGAGGGAGGTGGAGGCGCCTGAGGGCGCGCTGGGCTGCTGGTAGCGGGAGGCCCCAGAGCCACTCGACTCCATGGTCGGCGGCGAGGGGGGCGGGGCCCGTGCATTCGCTGTGGCGGGCGGGACTGGCCGTGGGGCCCTGGCCGCCGCCATCTCGTCGTCCGAGGAGTCTAGCAAGTCGATGACCTCCGGCGCCGCCCGTTTCTGGACATGGGTGTTGGGTGTGGTCGGGGGGAGGTCGCCGCGAGCACCAAGCGGAGAGGGTGCTCGAGTGCAGGAGGTAGGAAAGGGACTCAACCCCGCGACTGCAGCCCGTCGACCAGGCCCCCCCCTTCAAGCCCCATGCGTCCGATTCCAAGCACGACCACCCACCCACCACCCCCGCCACGCACCTGGGGCCTGGCCAGGTTCTTCACGGCGGCCGCGGCGGCCCGCAGCTCCTCCTCCTCGTCGGTCTCGCTGTCCACGGCGAGGCTCGCGGCGCCGTCGTCGCCGCCGCTGCCCGGCGCGCCCTCCGCCGCGTCGGCCTCCGCCTTCACCCTCGCCGAACCCGCGGGCATGCCGCTCGCCGCGCCAGCGATCGCCGCCGCGGCGCCCTCCACGCCGTCCCCGATGTCGAAGGGTCCGCAGGCCCGGCCCACCGGCCGCCACCGCCCGTCGGCCCCCAGCTCCACCTCTTCGATGTCTGGAAAGCGCGACACCGCCGCCAGCACCTCCGCCATGTACGTGTCCGGCTGCGGGGGTGGCCGAGGCGCGTGGAAGCTTGAGGCGGGTGGGATGGGCTGGGAAATGGTGTTGCCTCGGGCTTACAGACATGCGCAATGGATCTCCCGGGCCCCGTCCACAATCTCATGTACTGTCGTGACCGCAACTTTCTCGCCACAGACTCACACTCA